AGTGGAACTAGTATCCATTCATGAGTCAAATTTTAAAAACCATCCTTTTAAAAACAAAAGTGCACGAAAAAGGGTATGATTGACATGTCTTTCTTCTCAATCGTGCTGAAATTTGGTGAGTTCTTTCATCTTATTAAAAATATATTTGAATTCCTTCTTGATTTCACCTTAGAGTTGTATTGTATTCTTTTCCTCTCTTCTTGACTGGGTTCTTATCCTTCGTTTTTGCTGTAATCAATGCACTCTTCCAATTTGATTAACAATATTCCTTCCTCCATGACGACGTGGTCAAAAGTTCATTGATTGACCATTTAAATTTAGGTGTGTTGTACATCTTGACAAGTATTTTTTTTTTGAAGTAAAGTCCACAGGGAAAGGGTCGGGCATATTGTGTTGGGTGAGGTTACATTAATAATTTTATATATCTCAACATGTCCTCTTACGCTGAGTTCACACGTACCTTCACACGAGAGTCTACTGGATTCTGATACCATGTAAAGAACGAATTCAAACCAAAAGTTTAAGCTGATGGGTGAGATTACATTAATAATTTTATATATCTCAACAAATTTGTGAGCTTCATTGATGAAAACCTCATAAATAGGATGCCAACAAGTGTATTGTCCAAAGACTTAAATTTTTCATCAATAGCATTTAGAAGTGTCTTAACTTTGTCATGCATATTGATAAAATAACGAATGCCAGTAGCTCCCAGCCTCCCACTTATAATTATTAGCGCTAATTAAGTTCAAGAATAATGTCAAATTTCACATCAAAGAAATTTGTAGGTTGCATGACGGCATAATATTAACCATACATGCTATAATTAAAATTTGAGACTAATAAATCATATATCAAGTTCTACTAATATAAAGCATACTTAACATTTATGAATCTATAAGTATAAATTTTTTTGTGGGCTAAAATTTTAATTCAATTTGGTCCATGCATAACTTTATGATAAATCTGTCAATTATTTCCTAATTTGTGTGTGTAAATTAAGAATGTAATTTGATGTTATATCCTAATCAAACATACAAAATATAATAAAATTTTATGTACGATAAGATCTATTATATCACATATGATAAACTACAATTAATATCGTTATGTGTGATCCTAGAACTCATAATATATGTTTTTTAACTAATTAAATACGTTGTGGTTACTTGTTAATTACTTAAAACTAGGGAAAAGTTCAGAAACTCCTATATCATTTCTCTTAGAATCACTCACTCTCTTAAGATTTTTTTTTTAATCATTTACACCCTTCTAGTTTTATTCCATCCAGTCCACCTTTTTATTCCATCCAGTCCACCTTCTAACATTGTTACAAATTAAATTAAACTATCCATTTTACTCCTATAAAAAGAATCACTACCAGATTATCTATTACCGTATTCCTACTCACTTTTTTCAACTTCTTGGAAAGAGAATCTTATAGTGTAATATATTTTTTGGGGGGGAAAGTTCAAAAACCCTTATGATTTCTCTTAAAATCACTTACACCTTTGGTTATGTTTTTTTTCCATCATTTACCCCCTAAATTTTTTCCATACAATCCATTTTCTAACTGTTTCAAAAATTAAATTAAATTATCTATTTTTCCCTTGTAAAAAGAATCATTTAGAGATAAAATTTTGATAACGCAATTTTTTTTTCATCCAACTCTGATTGTTTTCTAAAATATATACCAAACTATTAAAAAAAATTGCATCCCAACAATATTTAGAAAAAAATTACAATGAAAGCTATAAGCTAGTAATTAATTTCCATCTTCCAATATGATTATATTCACAACATTGTTAGCAAAAATGAACGCTTTACTTAGAACTATTATTTTTCTTCTTACAAATTTATATATCTTTTATAAAATTAACTTGACTCGAGTTTGATAAATATATTAATATCTTAAATTTAATAAATAAAACCAAAGATTATTTAAGTAATCAATTTATATGTAAATATATTTTTATTCTGGGTTGAAAAATAAAAAAAAATGTGAGTCAGAGATAGGTAATAAAGAAAATAAATTTTTTGGAAAAAATACTAATATATTAAGTAATAGATTAATCTATTGATATACAATACTCACTAATATTATGCTAAATGATATAAACAAATACACACAGATGAGAAGCGAATTGATAATGAATAAAATAGAAAAATCTAGAAAAATTAGTCAATTGAGTTATAATAAAAAGAGTTCAATTTAAATTGAATTCTACGCTCTGATGGTGTTAAGAGTTTGAACATGTAATGTATGTTTGCTTATTTGCTTTATTATAATATATTAACAATATATAATATATTGTGATGCACTACTAGAAAATGCTTTTTTTCGACGGAAAAATTCCGTCGAAAATGATAAAAATATCGTCGAAAATGACATTTTCGACGGAAAAAAGCCATCGAATAAGTCTTCGTAGGTAACAAATTTTTCGACGGAATTAGAGATTCCGTCGAAAAAATTCGAGGGAAATTATTTCCGTCGAATTTTTTCGACGGAATAATTTCTGTGGAAAATTTCGACGGAAAATGAATGAAATTCCGTCGAAAAATCTTGTATCAATTTTTGACAGAAAACAATTTATGTGAAAAATTTTCGACGGAAAATGAATGTAATTCTGTCGAAAAATCTTTTAATATCTTTCGACGGAAAATAAATTCTGTCGAAATTTTTCGACGGAAAATAAAAGAAATTTCGTCGAAAAATCTTTTAATGATTTTCGACGGAAAATAAATTCTGTCGAAAATTTTCGACGGAAAATGAATGAAATTCCGCCGAAAAATCTTTTAATAATTTTCGACGGAAAACAAATTCCGTCGAAAATTTTTGACAAAAAATTCATAAAATTCCGTTGAATATTTTTTTCTCTACAAAATTAATATCAATTTATGTTTCACACCTTATAAACAAATATAATGAAACTAACATATCACAATTATATGATTTTAATATAATTATGTGTACAAAAATCTCTGTCATATACTAATCAAAACAGACTTATATATATAAATGTCCAAGACATATACTAATCAATAAGGACATACATATACAAAAGTCACAAAGTTCTTTAGGTTGACATAACAAAACAAGAAACAATGGTCACTAAATATCATCTCCATGTATTATTTGGAATTTTTATTTTTGACTTTTAAAAAAAAAAAAACTTAAACAAAATTGAATTGAATTTGAAAACCATTAATACAGGTCATTAGTTCGATAGGTTTGTTTTGTTAACCGGTTTAGGGAAATCTTCTCTTAACAAAATTTTAGGAAATTTTTTTTTCAATGTCAATACAACACTATTGCAACACGAAAGAGAAAATTAAGAAAATATATATTGTAGCACGTTTTAAATATATAGACACAACCAATATAAAATATATATATAAATCATAAATTAAAAGATAAAAAAATTAATTTTTTTTATAAATATGTAAAGGTAATACAAAAGAACTTAAATTATAGTTTTTAAATGAAATAAAAAATTATATATAATTGTAGTTTTTATAATATCTTTTATGATTTATTTTTTTATGATTGTTTACGACGGAATCCGAATTCCGTCGAAAAGTCCATAAATATAATTTCTTTTTTCATGATAGTTTTCGACGAAATTTCTTTTCAGTCGAAGATCTTCGACGGAATCCGAATTCCGTCGAAAAATAAATAAATAAAATTTCTTTTTTCATTTATTTTTTTATGATCGTTTTCGACGGAATCCGAATTCTGTCGAAAAATCCATAAATATAATTTCTTTTCTGATTTATTTTTTTAAGATCGTTTTCGACGGAATTTATTTTTCGTCGAAAATCTTCGACGGAATCTGAATTCCGTCGAAAAATCCATAATTATAATTTCTTTTCTGATTTATTTTTTTAAGATCATTTTCGACGGAATTCATTTTTCGTCGAAAATCTTCGACGGAATCCAAAATCTGTCGAAAAATCCATAAATATAATTTCTTTTCTTATTTATTTTTTATGATCGTTTTCGACGGAATTCATTTTCCGTCGAAGATTTTCGACGGAATTTGAATTCCGACGAAAAATCTATAAATGTAATTTCTTTTCTGATTTATTTTTTATGATCGTTTTCGACGGAATTCATTTTCTGTCGAAAATCTTCGACGGAATCTGAATTCCGTCGAAAAATCTTCGACGGAATATAATTTCCGTTGAAAATTTTCCACAGATTATAATTTCCGTCGAAAACTGCAACGAAATACGTTTTTCGTTGAAATTTCCGTTTCTAATTTTGATGGAATATTTTCCGTCGAAAAATTGGACTTTTCTAGTAGTGATGTTAGATAAAATTTTCATCCAAAGAAATTGAAAAAAGTGGGTAGGAACACTGTAATATATAATCTGGTAGTGATTCTTTTTATAGGAGTAAAATTGATAATTTAATTTAATTTTTAACTGTATGGTATTAGAAGGTGGATTGGATGAAAATAATCATATCAATATAAATGATAAAAGTAAAACCATAAAAAAATAAGTGTTTCTAAGAAAAAGCATCAGAAGGATTTTTGAACTTTTCCCCTTGAATATATTATACAGATATCCACTAATTTTTTTACTCTACAAACATTTTTTTTTTTTTGCTTCGGATCATTTTTTGTATAGAAACATTCTTCGGATCATTAGTACTTCAGTTTAGCATCAATTGTCGTTATCCAGTTAGAACTTTTTTGGGTTTGAGTTTTTATTAGTGTATCAAAAGCACTGCAGTTATTAGAAAAGTGAGCTAATTTTAAGTATCTTCAAATTGATCCTCATATTAGCCTCTATTTTCCCAAATCGAAAATAACAATTGATTGCATATTTGCATTGCAGAGACCATAAAAATTATTACAAAATTCCAACATAAATTTCACTAAATAAAACAAGTTCATTCTTTATTTTATTTTGTTTATTGATAAAGCAAACATAACATTTTATTTATTTCGGATCATTACGCTACAAATGCGTTGCTTCGTTCTTCGGCCATCTCAGTCATCGAAGAATTTGTCAGGACTAAGGTAAGCAGTAGCATCAAAGTAAACATTGGCACCGCTTGAGCTGTTATCTCCTGACTCATCTTTTTCAGTTGGGTCTGGATATGGGTCGTCTGTACCTGACCCACCCACTTCCATTGGAGCATCACAAGTTGTTGATAACGGTGGTGGCACACGATATGCAGTTGTACTGAGACGATAACGATTATGGTAAAGAGTGCAAAGGTCAGCATAATTATGTAAACCTAACCTCCTCATTGCCCATAACAAATCTTCTGCAGTAACAGTTGCTCGTTGCTCGCTTTGGCACCGTATATTAGCCTCGCTAGTGATGAAGCAAATGAACTCAGTCACACACTCTACCATTGTTATCTTTGTTTCATCAGTGATTTTTGCATTCGGTGGAAGAGCTTGGCGCACGATTCTTAGCACATTGGACATTGGCAGGTTTGGATTTTCTTGACGGGGAGCTGCACCTTCGACAACCACCTGCTTATTTCTCGAAGAAGAATCTCCTTCCTCTTGCGATTGCTTTGAACCTAAAAAACATGCACCCCAAGTTTTGTGATCATTTACCTTCATACAAATAATTATACAAACCAGTATATATAGATATCAAACTAGTATTGGAGATTAAGCTTATACACGTCTATATATGATGAGTATTAAAAATGAAAACCAATATATTTAACACGTTTGAATTCTTTGGATCGAGTGCTTACTAGAGATTGATTTTTCAGGCTGGCCATGGTGAAAGGAAGACCCTCCGTGCTCCATACTCTCTCCTTGAATAAAAGGATAGATGCTTGAATTTTCTACTTTGCTTATGAATGGACGCTGGTTACAGTGTGTTCAATTTATAATGGGGAAAAGCTAATCCTGATACTTTTATTTAATTATTTTTTTTGGTGAAATCTTGGTGTTTTTAATGAGGGAGGTAAGATGGTCTTGACTTTTAAAAACCATTTAATGTAGTGAACAAAGAATTTATTGCATTATAATTAATTAAAAGTTGACCAAAATACTAAAAGGTTGAATAAAAGAATGGAATATGATTTCTGCTTTTCGCACCGAGTGTTCAGGAATGTGCGATGGTCATATTTTCATTATATATTCTTGAGAGTATTTAATGAAAATATTTACGTTATATTTTTTTCTTACTTCATATATATCAGTCAATATTTTATGAGAAAAAAAATAGAGTATATAATGCAAATATGACTGTCCTATTAAATGCGATGGTAATATATTAAAATTTTCCCATAAAAAGAAGTGGCCCCATCATTTCTCTCTCTCTCTCTTTCATTCCTTTATGCTTTCCCTCTCTATTCTTTGATCTACGTGGCAGAGACAAATTTATCTATTTCAAAAGCATAAATCATGTTCCCAAAAAAGAAATATGCCTTTAATTTGCCTATTGAATGGCCACGGGTTTCAATCCACTGGATTTATACAAGGGAAAAGTTAATCCGGGTGATTTGATTGGCGGTTTTAATGAGGTATCTAAGACTTTATTTATTTCTTAAATATCACTTATTGTGCTGAATAAAAAATTTATTACATTGTAATTAATTAAACGTTGATAAATCAAAACAAGACAAATTGGGTAATAAATTTATTAATAAGACATTTAACTCTAAATTTATTTTCTTCTTAATTGGTTTTTTGAAAATTTTGACTTTAAGATGAGTGTGTTGTTTTAAGCGTTAAAAAAACAATTTTATACTTTAGCTTTTATATAAATTTACAAAATTTATAATATATTATTATGAAAGTGAGTGATATTAATATCGTATTCATCTTCTAGATTAGCTTCAATATGTACTTATTATACATTCTATCTTGGTTATAAAACTTGTCATATATCGATGATAATGTTTTTTTATGGCTACAATAAACCCATGCGGTATCTCTTTCTAAAAGTTTATAATGTTAATTTTTCTTGCTAAAGTTTTGGTGATAATTGAAACCATATCTAGTGTTAGGATTTATGAATGTGGATAGGGGTACGTATAAATTAGTCATGTCAAACCAAACTTTAGCTTGAATGAGTTAGATTTGTATAAAATATTTTAAGTTTGTGTTGACTTATTAGCTTAATATAAATCAAATTATAAATTTGACCTGACTTATTTTTAAAAAATATAAGATTTGGTATAATCTATCAAATCTACAGAGTCTTCAAAAATGACATATTGTATTTTATAAATTATAATTTAATTATGATACTTCATTTCTTTTGTTTTTTAAGTTGATTGAAAGTCAAAATAATAGAATAACTGAAGCCACGTCACAATCCGAAACATTGATAATTTAACTGTTTTGCAAAAATATCATAAGATATTATTTATTAAAAAATCACATGTTGGACCTAGAGGTATATAGGTAAGGTCTTTTAAAATGAAGTTGAAGCCTGATTTCTAAATATACAGTTTAATGAATCTGCAGCTTGTACCATTTTTAAAACATATCATGCTATGATAGATCAAGTTGTAGGCCCTTGACATGCCGTCTGACCCGACTACACTCCTAAATGTGCATAATGTATTTTTCCAATGTTTAGAAACCATCATCATTTATTGCTGCACATTCATAATCGACTTTACGAAGGGAAGAGCTTATAAAAGGGGCATACACTCATGAATTTTTTTTTTTCTCTAAACTCATTCTTACCCAGATTGAAATACACCACATAGGCCGTAAAAGAAATGATTTAAAGCATATTTGACACATTTTTTATGCTAAAACTATTTTTTAAGTTAAAGTTAAAAATAAAAACTTTTAAAAAATTAAAAGTTATTTGGTGGTTATACAAACTATTTTATTTTCTCAAGCTAAAAACAAATTATTTGGTAAAATAATATATAACTTTTTCTAAAAAATTGGTATACATCTTCAAAAAAAAAAGTTTCTCTTAAGAGATTTTAGATTTTTTTTAATATTATATAAAAAAAAAATTATAGTAAGAGCTTTTATAAAAATACTACTTATAATAGTCGAAACCAAATACTACTTAATTATAACCTTGAATGAACAATAATGGTAGGAGGCACAATTCAATCCTTTTATTTTCATTCCGCAATGATCTTATTGCTATTTGGATATGTAGGCATGATCGATTACATCATTTAAGAATATTTATCATTTGGTATCGGATAAATTTAATACCTGAATTTGTTAAGGGAAAAGAAGGGTGATATATTCCTAGTAAATCAATGTAACAGTAACAAAAAAAACAATAGTATTGAAATATATCTTAATAGAGTTCACCATGCGTAGAGGTCTCAAGCAAGTTATGAATCAAGGGGAGGTGTAAAGGCACTGTTATGGCAATGAACAGTGCTCTCTGTAGGCTAATGGTAATGGTGAAAGAGATGATCTCTCTCATGGAGGAGAGAGGGTATTTATAGTGTGAAGAAAAACTCCTTAAGCATGAGAATGATATGAGCTTCATCACGTTCATTGTGTGATGTATTGATTATTGTTCATTATACAGGTAATATTAATATTGAGATGGATTATATAAGTACATTAATGTAAAATTTTACGTTAATATTGCCTTGTAGTTTATTTCAATGATATGGGCTCGAAATCAATTCATGTTTTACAAAATTCAGACTCTATGGATGTTTTCTCCTTCTTCTTCACAAACTATGACAACCATGCACCAATCCACCATTACCGGTCTCTGTCGCCAGGTTGCTTCTCGACAATCTGTAAGATCCTTCAAATTATGCCTTTTTTTTACTTAGCTTGATTTCTGAGTTTTTTTTTTTCAAATTAATTTCTTGTTGCTCGTGCTTTCTGATCTGCCTTCTTCTTGACATGCTTTGTTTTACACATTTTGCTTGGTTACCTAAATTTTCTGGATGATTCAATTTTCTATATATACTCAAGATATATAAGAGATGTCCCGTTTGATTATAAGGGTCATTAAGTCTTAAAGAACCAATTCAACCCAAAAGTTTAAGCTGTTGGGTGAAGCTATATTATTGGTTTTATATATCTCAACAAAGTCAATGATCATGGCTTGTATAGTGGAAATCACTAATTTTCACGTGTCATTGTAGTATTGTACACCCAGCAAGTCTTAAACAGAAAATGGTTCATAGATGTTGCATTGAATGATGAAAGATGAATATAGAATTGGGGTAGGAAAACTTTGAGTACTTATAACGAAAGACAGACATGGGGAAAAAAATTAGACCTGACTATATAAAGAAAGTAAAATGAAGATTATTATAACCTTACAGCTGTATATAGGTGTGTTATATATGGAATTTGGCAGGTTTACACAGACCTCAGATTAACCAAGAGATCTTCAGCAGCCACTGAAAGAAACTTTCTTCTTCAACCATGGTCTCCATGTGGGGCAGCACAAAGGGCAAAGGAGTCAGCCAAGGACATTGTTGCATCTGAGGGGAGTATATATCTTCTGTATGACCTTAACAATTCCGTCATTGCAAATTAAGCCTAAGGGCCAGAATCATTCACTCAAGGAACTTAATGGCAAGCTCTTCCAGGATATCAGCAATGTTAGTTGAAAAAAAGATTGGGGAAACGAGATAACCCCATGGTGCTTTATCAATTTAATTAGGGTTGTGAAAGTTTAGACTAATTGAAGTTCTTAATTTTCTTTTCTTTTTTGTTTAGCAGCTGGATTATGCAGCAAAAGTTAAGAGCACACCACAAGCAGATCAAGTACTAAGTTGAGACTCTATCTACTCTGAAATATCCTTGCCAAACATGGTTAATATGATTAATTTCTTCTAATTTCTTTTCTGAGCTTAATTTGTCTATGTTTTTCTAATACACTTTGTTTGACCGCTATTTGAAGAAAATCAAATTAAATGATGAGGGAAAATTTGCCACCAATTAATAAACAGATATTATCATCAATTATCACAATTATTATTGTTGTCGTCTTAGTTTAACTCGCACATGCAGTCAACTTTGATTCCACACGACAAAATCGATATATAGTTTAAAGGTTTAACATATATTTATGTTTTACTGCAGAAATGTTTTCACTGTCACACTCACACAAAAGTAAATGAATCTTATTAATTTCTTCTGTCTTTTCTTTTCAAAATGAGACTTACTCATTTTTATGTGTGTGTGACAGATAAAGTATCTATGCAACAAAAACTGAAATATTTTTCCCTAGTTTAAAACATAACAATGCTAAAAATCCTTTTTGCTTATGTTTTTAACCTTATTTTTCTTAAAAAGATTCTAAATTATAACATTGAAATAATTTTTTTTTTACTAAATACTTATATACGTAACATAGCAAAAATCAAAAACGAAAAATTAAATGTTCTAGTATCAAATGATAGATATTTTTAAACAATCCAATCATGATCATATAAATTAGATCAATGTGGATTGAAAATAAAAGGATTAAATCACATAAAGTTTGTGAGAAGTGTTTGATTTCAACCCTTATAAATCCTTTCTCTCCCTAATTAGATGGCGTACGTATAGAACTGACAGTAAGCGTGGGTTTTGGAACCAAAACCATGAATACACAGCCCTCTTCTTCTTCTTTTTGGTAAACAGTGAACAACCCTCTTTCCCTCTCACAAAGTCGGTTATGGATGACCGTCTCTGAATATTGGATGTTATCCACGTTTTTATTATGAATATTTCTATTTTTATTTTTATTTTGTTATATAATAGTTTTATGAATGATAAAATGCAATATTACTTATTTAATTAATTTTAAAGGAGGAGAGGCAAAGAGGAGCTAGTATGCAAGCTGAATAAATCTCTGTATGGCCTAAAGTAGTCCTCTCGAGATGTGGTACCTGAAGCTCGACACTTATATGGTAAAGCTTGCCTTTGATCATTGTGATGTTGACCGTTGTATTTATGTGAAAAGATTATAGAACGTGACTTTGTTATTCTAACTTTGTATGTTTACGACGTGTTACTCATTGGAAATAATTTAAAGATGATCATCGCTGTGAAAGGACTCCTGACAAAGCAATTTGAAATAAAAGATCTAGGAGCAAACAATGTGATTTTTGGGTATGCAAATTAAGAAAGGGCGTGATAAAGGAAGATTGTGGTTGAGTCAGCGAAAATACATTGAGGATATTCTGAAAAAAATTCAAGATGATAATTTTATGGCATCTTGCTATCAAAAGCACATTTAACAAAGGTGTGAATTAGCTCACTTTTAAGTATATTCAAATTGATTCACATATTAGCCTCTATTTTGCCAAATCGAAAATAATAATTGATTGCATTGCAGAGACCATAAAAATAATCAGAAAATTCCAACATAAATTTCACTAAATAAAACAGGTTCGTTCTTTATTTTATTTTATTTATTTATTGATAAAGCAAACATAACATTTTATTTGTCTTGGATCACCACGCTACAAATGCATTGCTTCGTTCTTCGGCCATCTCAGTCATCGAAGAATTCGTCAGGATTAAGGTAAGCGGTAAACTTTGGCACCACTTGAGCTGGTACCAGCTCCTGACTCATCTTTTTCAGTTGGGGCATCAGAAGCTGTTGATAATGGTGGTGGCACACTATCATTTGCAATCACAGCTGGTTGTGCAGCTGGAACAGGTCCGCCACGATATGCAGAGTAAAGAGTGCAAAAGGCAGCATAATTATGTAAACCTAACCTCCTCATTGCCCATAACAAATCTTCTTCGGTAACAGATGATCGTTGCTCGCTTTCGCACCGTCTTTTAGCCTCGCTAGTGATGAGGCTAATGAAATTAGTCGCACACTGTACCATTGTTATCTTTGTTTCATCACTGATTTCTGCATTCGGTGGAAGAGCTTGGCGCACGATTCTTAGCACATTGGGCATTTGCAGGTTTTGATTTTCTTGATGGGGAGCTGCACCTTCCACCACCACCTGCTTGTTTTTTGAAGAAGAATCCCCTTCCTCCTGCAATTGCTTTGAACCTAAAAACACATGCACCCCAAGTTTTGTGATCGTTTATCTTCATACAAATAATTATACATTAAGAAGAAAAGGAAAGGAGAGATAAAAACTCTGATAAAAAATTACCAAAGACAATATTCACAGAAAAATTGAGAATAAAATTTTAAACAACAATTCTTGTAGAAAATTATCAAAACTAGTATAGATATCAACCTATAGTATTGGAGATAAAGCTTATACACGTCTATATATGATGAGTATTAAAAATGAAAACCAATATATATATTCAACACGTTTGAGTTCTTTGGAGTGCTTACTAGAGATTGATTTTTCAGGCTGGCCACGGTGAAAGGAAGGCCCTCCGTGCTCCATACTCTCTCCTTGAATAAAAGAATAGATGCTTGAATTTTCTCCTTTGCTTATGAATGAACACTGGTTACAGTGTGTTCAATTTATAATGGGGGAAAAGCTAATCTTGATCTTTTTATTTAATTATTTTTCTTTGGTGAAATCGTGGTGTTTTTAATGAGGGAGATAAGATGGTTTGACTTTTAAAAACCATTTAATATTGAGAACAAAAAATTTATTACTTTATAATTAGGGAAAAATGTTTATCCTTTTAAATGACACAACTTATATCATTTTACTCTCATAAAGAAGTGGAACCCACATCTTTATTTTTTTGTCAACTCTCTCTCCTCCTTTATCTATCTCTTTCTCTCTCTTAAAATGACACAACTTTACATCCTTTAAAATAACACATACTTTATCCTTATAATTAATTAAAAGTTGAACAAAATAATAAAAGGCTGAATAAAAGAAGAGTTTTATAAAAGTTATGTTGTAGGAAAAGTGATTGTGATATGTTATAGAGATTCGTTTTGCGTGCTGTAGTTTTTTTTTCTTCAAAACATGTGGACCCCACAAAATGTTGTGTGTGTAGAAAACTTTTTGTGATCATGTTAAATGATAAATGCAAATCCCATAAAAGAAATATGGCTTTAATTTTCATATTGAATGAACACTGGTTTCAATCCCCTGGATTTATACAGGAGAAAAGTAAATCTTGCGTTTCTTATGAGGGATCTAAGACTTTATTTTTTTATAAATATCATTTATTGTGAGTAATAAAAAATTTATTACATTGTAATTTATTTAAAGTTGGTCAATCAAAACAAGACAAATTGGATAATAAATTTATTAATAAGACATTTAACTCTCTCTTTTTTCTTAATTTCTTTTTTGAAAATTTTGACTTTAAGGTGAGTGTGTTTTTTCAAGCGTTAAAAAATAAATAATTTTATAATTTAGATTTTCTTCATATTTACAAAATTTATTAATATATTATTAAAAAGGGCTTAGTTTTTGTTCTTTTAGAGAACATAGAATTATTATTTCCAAAAAAAAAGACAACATAGAATTATGTTATTTTAGTAAATTTAAAGAACCAATTCAACCCAAAAACTTAAGTTATTGGGTGAGACTATATAAATGATTTTATATATCTCAACACATCCCCTCACACGAGAGCTCACTGGGCTTGAAGGGTGGACAATTATTCCAACTACAATATTTTATGGTGAGAGAAATAGTTACACAATAAAAATCATGGTAGGATAAAGTAGGAGATTTTTTAATTTATATATTAAATAAAATAATTATTTTAACTAAAATAATAAGTGTCCTTTAAAAAGATAAATATTTTCCCCTATTATAAAAGTGAGTGATATTAATGTCGTATTCATCTTGTAGATTAGCTTCAATATGTCCTTATAAAGTTGATGTTGGGTATAAAACTTGTCATATATCGATAATAATTTTTGTTTTGTGGCTACGATAAACCCATGCGATATCTCTTTTTAAAAGTTTATAATGTTAATTTCTTTGCTAAAGTTTTGGTGATAATTGAAACCATATCCAGCGCTGGGATCTAAAAATGGGGATGAAGGTATAAATGAGCCATGTGAAACTAGACTTGAGACTAATTGATTTGTACTTGTATAAAATATATTTCAAGTCTGTGTTTACTTGTTAGCATGATACCAATCAAATTATAGATTTGACCTGCCTTGTTTTTTAAAATTACAAAATCTAATATGGCCTATCAAATCTACAAAATCTTTAAAAATAACATATTGTACTTTATAAATTATAATTTATAATTATTTTATTTCTTTTGTATGTTTAAGTTGATAGAAAATCAAAATAATACAATAACTGAAGCCAAAATATTGACGATTTAACTATTTTGTTGAAAATTGCGTAATATATTATTTATTAAAAAATACAAGCCGGACCTAAAGGTTTATAGGTTGGGTCTTTTTAAATAGACTTGTGGCTTAATTTCTAAATATGTATTTTAATAAGTCTAAATTAATTTGTACTATTTGTAAAATGTATCATGCCAAGACTAGTCAAAGGCAAACTAAATTATACTGAGTCATCTATATAACATCTCACATATTTAATTATGATATTAAATGCTAAATTGAGGGTTAGAGGGTGTAATTAGTGAAAATCATGATATTTGAAGTCAAAATATCCATCAGGGGCAAAATGATAAATTGCCAATTACGTAACCTGTACCATGAAATGATAAATCGGAGTTTAATTTGAGTAAAATAATACTGAAAATGGATTTAGTACAAAATTTGGAGTTGGTAGGTATGTTTTGAGAAATTTTGATGAATAGTGATTTTTACCGAATAAAATACTGCAATGTAATTTTATCGGTAAACGTGAAAAATGAAATTATGGTATAGGAAATAAAAATATGTAGAGTTGGGATAAAATTAATGAATTATAAATTTAGTGATGATTGGTGGGATTATGTAAGTACACTAATGTAATATTCATATTAAGTTGGATTATATAAGTACATACAAATGGAAAATTTTACGTTAATATGGCCTTATAGTTAGTTTATTACAATGATATGGGCTTGAAATCAATTCATGTTTTACAAATTTCAGACTCTGTGGACGTTTTCTCCTCCTTCTTCACAAACTTTAACAGCCACCATTGCCGGTCTCTGTCGCCAGGTAGCTTCTCGACAATCGATAAGATCCTTCAAATTAAGCCTTTTTTGACATAGCTTGATTTTCGAGTTTTTTTTTTTTTCAAATTAATTTCTTGTTGCTCGTGCTTTCTGATCTGCCTTCTTCTTGACGTGCTTTGTTTTACACATTTTGCTTGGTTTACTTAAATTCTCTTGATGATACAATTTTCTATATCTATTCAAGATAAGAGATGCCCCCTTTGATTGTAAGGGTCATTAGGTCAAAGATCTTGGCTTGTATAGTGGAAATCACTAATTTTTACGTCTCATATATTGTAGTATATATTGTACCCTCCCAGCAAAGACTCTTAATTGCTAAAATGGGTCATGGATGTTCCATTGAATGATGAAAGATGAATAATATAGAAATGCGGTAGAAAAATTTTGAGTAGCTTCTTATAATGAGTTAGATGAAAGACATGGAAAAAAAATAAATAAGAAATGGGGTATTTTTTAGTGACATAAAGAAAGTAAAATGAAGATAATTATAACCTTACGTGTTATGGAATTTGGCAGCTGGAACACAGACCTCAGATTAACCAAGAGATCTTCAGCTGCCACTGAAAGAAAGTTTCTTCCTTCAACCATGGCCTCCTAGTGGGGCAGCACAAAGAACAAAGGAGTCAACCCAGAGGGTCGAGTATCTTCGGTATGACCTTAACATTTTCATCATTGCAAAGCCTAATTAAGGACCAAAGGCATTGCCTCAAGGAACTTAATGGCAAGGTCTTCCAGGATATCAGCAATGTCAGTTGAAAAAGAGTTTGGAGAAACGATATAACCCCACGGTTCTTTATAAATTTAGGGTTGTGAAAGTTTAGACTAATTGAAGTTCTTAATTTTCTTTTCTTTTTTGTTTAACAGCTGGATTATGCAGCAAAAGTTAAGCGTATACCACAAGCAGGGAAATACTAAGTTGGGACTCTATGTAGTTACTCTGATGAAATATCCTTGCCAAACATGGTTACTATGATTAATTTCTTCTAATTTCTTTTGTAAGCTTAATTTGTCTATGTTTCTCTCATACACTTTGTTTGACCGCTATTCGAAGAAAATCAAATGAGGGAAAAATTGCAGCCAATAAACAAGAAATTATCATCAATTATCACAATTCTTATTGTTGTTGCCTTAGTTTAACTCTCACATGCTGTCTCAACTTTGATTCCACACGGTAAAATCGATATATAGTTTAAAACACAAAATGCTAAAAATCCTATTATTGTTTATATTTTTAACCTTATTTTTCATAAAAAGGTTCTAAATTATAAAATTGAAATAAATAAAAAAATTACTACTCTCCAAATTTTATTTTATTTTACTAAATACATATTATATACGTAACATTGCAAAAATCAAAAACAAAAAATTAAAGTGTTCTAATATCAAATGATAGATATTCTTAAACAATCTAATCATGCTCACATAATCAAACAACTATTAGATCAATGTGGAATGAAAATAAAAGGATCGAATCATCCTGCCCTAGTCGTTCTTGCTCCGTAACTCAAGGTTGTGAAGTAGTGTTTCATTTCAACCCTTCTAAATCCTTTCTCTCCCTAATTAGATGGTGTACGTATAACACTGTGAGTAAGCGTGGGTTTTAGGACCAAAACCATGAGTGCACACCCCTCTTTCCATCACACAAAGTCGGTTATGGATGATCGTTTCCGAGAAGAGTCTGTTATCCAAATTTCCAAAATGATGAAAATCATGGATTTGGTTATAATTAATCCAAACTTTAGGAAAAAATCTAACAGAATAAAATAAAAAGACATTCTGCATGGTTTACTCGTAGCGAAAATAAAACTTTTTTTATCATAGATATATATATATGGCAATTTTTATACGCAAAATCAATTTTATA